GGGTTGATGGGGCTTGCGTGGCCCTCACTGTTGGGGCAGCTGCCTTCCTGGGGAGCTTGAGCCTTGGTTCCCTAAGCTCTTGTTTCTCTCTCAAGTAAATGGCTGGAAGTTGTTGGGTTTCTGTGAGGATCAGCTGGCTCGTGAAAAGCAGCGCTCACCTGTCATATGCACTTTGGCTGAGGAACTGTCCGGGAGTGGGTGGGTGTGGCTAGGCACCCTTGCTGCAGAAGGGGCAAGGCCCTGGTGTGCTGAGAACCCGTCTCCCTCAGGCCATTGGGGGCCAGGCCTCCCGCAGCCTCATGGACTGCTTTGCCGACATCCTGTTTGCTCTGAACAAACACTGCTTCAGCCTCCTGAGCGTGTGGATCAAGGAGGCACTTCAGTCACCTGGTTTTCCCTCTGCCCGCCTCAGCCCTGAACAGAAGGACACCTTCAGCCAACAGATCCTTCGGTGAGCAGAGCTGGCAGGGCCTGGGCTCGGGTCAGGGGGCAGGGGAGGCGTGGTGGATGGTGCTAACTTGCTCTCCCTTCTCTCCTTCAGCGAGCGAGTAAACAAGAGGCGGGTGAAGGAGATGGTGAAAGAGTTCACACTGCTGTGCCGGGGGCTACATGGCACAGATTACACAGCTGACTACTGAGGGGCGCCCCCGTCCCACCCACACCTCCTCCTCACCCCTTCCTATCCCCAAAGAGTAAACTTGAACCTTCACTGCACTGCTGTCTCTGCTTCCTTTCCACTGCCACCACCACCTAACTGGGTGACCTCAGAAGACCTGGGGGAAGGATGGGAGGATGCTTGGACCCAGGCCTTGGTAGGGTGTGGTGGGGCCAACCTCTCGCTCCTGGGGTGGAAGGGGCACTGCTATAGCCAAGCCGCCTAGGCTGGAGCCATTCCAGATACTGCGGATGCCCTTGGGGTAGGTGGGGACTGCAGTAGTGTCAGCAACCCCCCCCATTAAATTAGTCCCAACATTTATGCATGCATACATTTACTTAATCAACAATGCTGAGTGCTAGGCCCCTAATTCTGCCATGCCTTGCTCGGTCTGAACAAAAGCTGATCTAGTCCATAGCTACCATGCTGACTAAGCTGGGAGGATGGGACCAATGAGGAAGGCTGCATGAAGGAAATTTCATTTATGAAGGGAACGGGAGGTTTCCTAGGGAGAGGACTTGGGGCCTTGGGCTGGCAGTGAGGTGAGGCTGGGCTCATTTGGGAGGGAAGAAATGGAGAGTGGCTTTGAATTCCAGGGTGTGTTTCTTGTGTGGGGTTATTGAGGCACCCAGACTTGCACTTGGTTGAGGAGAGGTATAGAAAGCGGGGCTGAGCATGTGGGGGAGGAGATATGGTGGACCCCAGAGGAAGAGGAAGGCAGGCCCTAGTGTTGTCTGCAAACCCATAGCTCCCCAACTCTATGGTACCTGACCAGCTCGTGATGGTCAGGGTTTGGTCAGGACCAAGGACAGCTCCCGGCCTGCTGTTGCTCTCCTCCCTTAGCAGGGTTCCCTCCCTTTCTGTCTCAGCCATAGTTCCACCCTGGCTGCCTCTCAGGCACCCCAGCCATCTCCTCAGTAAGATCGCAAGAGCAGGATTGGGTTCTCCTGACTCCCAGCCCTGAGCCATGAGTCTCCTTGGAAGTGTTAGGAGAACTGGTTACTCCCACGATTGTCTCACCTTTTTCTCCTTTTCCCAACCTCTGTGCAAATTCTGTGTCCTCCATTCTTCATCCTCATTCAATCTCTTCCCACACCAGCCAGCATCAGCCCCCCTTTCATGTCATCCCCTGAGGTCACTCTGTCCCCTTTCCCTTACCCCTCCTCCATCCCATTCTCACCTTACTCTTGATTTTTCACTTCTGGAGTATGTGGAGATGTTTCACATACTTTCTGTCCTTTTCTCCTATGACATAGCACCCAAGTGTCTTCCTCCCTGCTGCCATGATCAAATGTAGCACTATATAACCTGGGAGAATGAGGGGTCTAAAGAACAGCTTCTGAAATCAGACCTGGGTACTGATGGTGCCACTGATTTGCTGTATCTTATTAGGCAGTTAGCCTCTTTGAGCCTCCGTTTCCTCATCTGCAAAATGCGACAGCTTACTCCAAAGACAACTCTGTAGTACCTGGTGAACAATTAGTGCTCAGTGTTTGCTTGATTGAGACTGCCATGAGGATAGTAGTGGATTCTTCCAGTACATGTGCTACGCAAAGGACTACTTTATGAAGTTTTATATCTAAATTAATTTGCCCAAGCAATCCTATTAGAAGTACTATTTTTACAAGCCCCGTTCTGCAGATGAGGAAACAGCCATAAAGACATTGAGTAACTAAAAGCCTCAGTAATTAGCAAGGGGCAGAGCGCAATATTGAAACCCAGGCAGTTTGGTACCTAATTTAAAAATTATGCAATGCCTAATTCTCTATCACCTCCCAGCTGAGAGTGCAGGGGAAGTGCTTAACAGTGTAGGCGGATAGGAACTGCTGAAACTGGAGTAGTTATTTTCAGGGAGTCGGTGTCTCTGAGGGCGCTTGGCGGCTGAACCGGAAGACCAGCGCCCGGAGAGGTGGGCCAGGAGAACTGCAACACCCACAAGGCTCCGCGCCTTCCTCTGAGCCACTTCCGATTGGCTTCGGGCTGGGAAGCCGACTATTGGTTCTCTGTGGGAGGCTTGGCGAGGACTGGAGGGCGGGAGCCGTGCTGATTTTTAGATGGGTAAAGTTGCCATCAGCCCCGCCTCAATTACCCGGAAGTAATCTCCCTGGGAGGCCCACGTGTAGCGGAGAAACGGGAATTCGGATGGGTCGGGTCCTGGCCCAAAGGCTGCGGGCTGACTGACTCCCCACCACCACCACTCCCCACCCAGC